AATAATTACAACATTTTGGTTTTTATCTCTGAAAATCGAAAAGAAAATTTCGATTTCAGCGGTATATATACTACATCAAAAAATTTAAGATACACCAGAAGCGATGGTGGGTTTTCATTTGGGATGGCTTACCTTCGATCGCCAACAGCTGTACGGTGATTTCTCGCCATTGAACCCCTCCAAAACCTAGATCTAAGAACAAAAATACCATAAACTTTCCAGGTGTTAAAACCATCCCAAAACCAAAAGAAATCGAGATCAGAAAGGATAAAAACATTAGAAATGGCAAACCAACCTAATTGCCAGCCAGTTTTTTTGTCCTGTCGGTGGTCGCCGGTTGCAAACAAGCCTGGTGTGCCACTCTTGGGTTGTGTTTTGTTCAAATGAAGGAGGAGGGGTTTCTCTTCACAGGGGCATTCTCGGCACTATATAAAATAGGTAGGGACTGGATCGATTGTCTCATAAAAATCGAACAAGCACTTACTTTTAAGTGTTTATTTTTGAAATAAACACTTATTCCTAACTTATTTGTCAAAGAGGAATAAGTGTTTATTTATCACTTAATGTGTAGTCCCAACATTTCTTGAAATAAGTACTTAAGAGAGGTGAAATCAAATAGGGCCTAAGAGTGTTCAAAAATCAAAACTTTTTGTTTGGAGGGAATTCCTTCTACCTTAGCATAACAAAACCAATAGTCTTAAAGAGAGTAGATATGTTCTTCCAAGCAACCTTACTAACAAGCCACCATGTTCTAGATACATGGATGCAGTGGCTTTTTAGGAGGCTTGTTGGAAGCTGTTGTTTGTAGCAAATTCAGTTTCTAGTCTCAATAGTAATTGAACTGGTTATGGCCTTATTTTTTTTTGAAAAATAACTGGTTACGGCCTTATGGGTTTCTTATTACAAGTCTGAATATATTGAAATTGTAGAGTCCTGGTGGGTAGGATATAGGTTTTACCATAGCCCAAACATACCTAACGGTCTTGAGCAATTGATAGCACTATTTTTCTTTTACTTTATGGAGGGATATTATAAAGGGCAAATTTCTTAAAGTATTCCTATGATTTAGGAAATTGACTATCTTTACCCTTATTGTTTATATATTGTCTTAAAGTACCTTTAAATTTTTTGGTAATTATCTAAAACCTTTCTTGCCATTCCGTCATACTTCATTCACATGTGACATTATTAACTGGTTATGTGTCGGCGTTGCCCATTTTGGCGTATGACTCCTTGGAGTCCCTTTTCGATGGCCATCTGAACTCTGTCACGAGACCACAATGTCTATAATGTTGAGATTCTTCATGGTTAAGTATGCGGTGTTGATCATACCGTCTACGTCTAGTACATTAATTGTAGTGAAGCTAGGTATTGGGATCGACCATTTCCTTTGAAGGGTTCAATGGTTTGAAGAGACAATTGTCTAGAGGGACCACCCCTATGTTTTGCATGAACACATAGTAAGGATAGATGTTCATCATGAGAGGAGACCTTGTTTTCGATAAGAATTGGAGCAGGGGAAGGACTAATTGGACTAGCGATTGGTTGAAGGCCTTTTGATGGGGAAAATGGGTCGATGATTATACAAGCCAAATGGAGCGTCCGAATTTTGATCTGGGTACGTAGATTTGAGGCGACCAAAGCATTATAGAAAGACTGAATTGCAGGGACAAGAATAAGAGTCGATGAGGGAATGGTAGCGAATACCTTGTCACCTATCGCGATGCCGTTTATAAGAGTTTTGGGGTAGAATGACACAACATTGCAATCGATCCGGGCAGCAACGGTGGCATTCGATGAGCCTATGGCGAGGAGCTGATTTTTGGGCACACCAATGATAACACGGATCTTGGTGCGAGGGGTGTCAATTGGACTCCAATCCAGTCCTATGTGAGTCCATTATAAATGGATCAGGTTCAATTCAATGAATGTTTTGGATCAATTTGAGCCGGTTCAATTTAATGTCTAGACTGTTCGATCTGTTCAAATTCATTTTATTTTAGATTGGTTTCAATTCAAACTCGGTCCATTGATACATATAATTTTTTTATGGGTGAACCAGGTCCAATCCAATCTAATAAATATTATAAATGGGATTGATCCGATCCAATGTTTTATTAGTCCATCCAATTCGTTCAAATTGACTTTGGATTAGACGAGAGCTTGAAGAATGTCACTGTCAGCATCATAGAGGCGGATGTGGGTGATCCTCTATAACTGTAACAAAACGAGGGCAGCCGGAGAAAAGAGGTTGGAAACATCGGTACCGATGTTGTTAACTCCCACAAAAGGCTGGTCATCATCTTGCTTCTTAACCTCTGTTACTGGTACCGCCTGATGCAACAACCAATTGGTAGAGAAAAGATAGATGAGAAAGGTGCGGTCTTTGTTGACAAAAAATCTCTTAAGTTGGGAAGATTTAGTTGGTTTTACCTTAAACAACACAAACAAGTGTAGAGATAAGTGAGTGGTAGCTTTGGTTGTAATCTTAGAATCTACCATTGTTGAGGACCTCATGCTTTACTTCTTAATCGTCTTCATCTCTGGTTCAGCTACAGACCCTTGCATTATCTTCGAATATCTTCGTTTTCTAGTAAAAAAGAATCTCGTGTTCTCAACACATGCAGTGGATTGCAGAATGAGAGAGGGAGACTCTTAGGAATGAAAGAAAGTACATGGCGATGAAATTCAGTATTAAAAGTGAATTTATTGTCAACAATCGAATGGGATGCAAGAGAGAAAAAGCTATCTTTTAGCATTACTACCATTTATTGCCAATGCGTTTTGTTGGTCTGTTTTTCCTACGGTTCTGGTTTGGTCTGTGTTCTTCACCCACCACTTTTTTTTTTTTTTTTATTACAACACCTATAATTCTCACTTTCCCCTTTTCGATTTTCTTTGGGGCGGTCAAGGGAAGTTGCTTTTTGCATACTTTGTCGTTTTATGGTTTCAAAAAATCATCATTGGAGCCACGATTTACTCCTTCTTAAAAATTTTCATCAATTAGGTTTTATTTTGAAAAAAATTTGAAGAACAATGGAGGGCAAATTTGACATTTCATCTTTCTATTAGTTCTTAATGATAATATCAGTTGTTAAAAAACTTAGGAATACTTTAAAACAATATATACAGAGTAAGGGTACCGGGTATACTTAGTCAATTTTCTAAAGGGTAGGAGTACTTTAAGACATCATTAGACTATCATTAATGTTCAAAACTCACATTCTTTTAGATTACCGATCATTAATAGAAATTGTATACATAAGTATTTTACATGGCTAAACTACCTTTGAATATTTTTATTAAATATTTTATGACAAAATTATCCTTGACCCGAACTTAGGCCTCCACTTGACCGACAAATTTCAGGCTTGGGCCCAACCTTCTTGCATATATTTGAATATATGCATTTTATACATAATATAAAATAACGTATATGTATATATGTTATTTTACGTTATATTATATACTTTATATATAAAATATTATAATATGACAATATATATATATATATATTATAAATGTATAAAATAAATTTATATGCATATATAATGTTATATATGTAATATTTTATATGTAAATGACATAGGCTCGGAATTAAGCTTGAAACTCGAGCTAAGCCTAGGGTTGTCAATGGACCAGTTTTGGGTTGGACCCTGACTAAATCAAAATCAATTTAAATGGATTGGATAGACCAATAAGACATTGAATTTAGGGCTTTCAACGGATCAGGCCCAAATAGAACTGGAACCGACACAATAAAAAATACTAAGGACCTGAAATTGAATCAGACCCGATACGATTTGTAATCTTAGTCCAATAACTAAATTGATCGACTCTTGAGACAATCAGATTTGATCCAATGGACCCGATTATAATAAACATACTAAAAATATTATATATAATATTAATTTATATGTGTGTGAGGGGGTCAAGTACCAGAATTGACCCAACCGGTTTGGTCCATTGGATCCAACCCGACCTATTAACAATCATAATTGAATTGGATCAATCCAAACTCCAAAGTATATACTAGATTGGATTGAACCTGGTCCATTTGTAATGGATTTATATTAGATTGGGCTAGGATCGAACCAATATCTGATTCATTGATAAAAAATAAGAATACAAGTGTCAATGGGCCATATTTGAGTTAGAACCAACCTAAATTAAAACCAATGAATTGGACTGAACCTGGTTCATTTATAATGAAATTATATTAGATTGGGGTGGATTGGACCTATATGCGATTAATTGATAAAAGATAAGAATACAAATGTCAATGGAATAGATGTGAGTTAGAACCAATCTAAATTAAAAACCAATTTAAACAAATTGGATGGCCCAGACATTAATTCGGGCAGGCCAAAATGATCTAATTCATCGAATTGGATTGTACCTGATCCATTTGTAATGGACCCATGTTGGACCGGATCGGATTGGGCCAAACCCGTTCCAATCGACACCCCTGGTTAGGCCGGGCCTTGGCTATAGCCAATTAGCCATCAGGATCCGGGGCTTATGTTCCATGTTCTGTGTTTTTTACACTACACTCTACAGGGACAAAGGAGTAGGAGTGGAACGGTAGTAGTAGTAGGAGATGGTCGGTCTCCACTAAAGCCTCTCGAGTCTCAACTACCCAAAAAATGGCCACAACGCCCAAGGCGAAGGCAGCTGTACTTAACACAGCGAACACAGTGCAACAAAAACACAGAGAGGACAGAGCTTTCTTCCTTTCTACACCGTTCGACGTTCAAATGTTCTTACTCGTAAGCGTTTTTCTCGAGAAATGGAATCAATGATGATTGCCGCTGATTTCCAAATCCACGGTTACAATAGATTCGATGACGACGAACCAACCAATTACAGCCTTTCAAACCGACAACTCACTCTTAACCGGATGCTCCCGGTTATAAAATTCTCCACGAATTCAACCCGGTCGATTAATACCGGAGGAACCAGTAACCTCATACATACTGGTTGTGCAATAAATGCCGAGTAATAAATTACAATGCCCCAAACGAAGATAAATAAAAGGAAAAGGGATTTCGGCTTCATATTGATACATTAATTTCTTCGTTTTTTTCAAAGCCTTCATTTCTCCAGCTCGTCCATCTCTTCCTCATTTTTTCTTCCTTCCATCCCTGATTTTCTCCCTCTTTCTCCATCCGTCGTCGTTCCAGAGATTTTCCCGCTAACCGAGCGGGGGATATGATCTCTTGACGTTTTTCCGATTGGTCGATCTGTACTGTTTTTCCGACCAGATTCTATTAGATTTTGTAGGATCATTCCGTGGCTTGTTCGAATCGGAGTCTGATCCTCGTCAGTAATCATGTTTCTTCTCGATTGGTTCTATGGCGTCCTTGCATCGCTCGGCCTTTGGCAGAAAGAGGCCAAGATCTTGTTTCTAGGGCTCGATAATGCCGGAAAGACGACGCTGCTTCACATGCTGAAAGATGAGGTTTGTCTCTTCCGTTCTTTCGTTGTTCTTTTTTCTTATGTCCGAATTTCTCTATTTTCTATATGTTTTTATACGCGATGTTTTATTATCGTTTTTTTGTTGATTTATTGTTCTTGTTGGGTCTTTGCAGAGATTGGTTCAACATCAGCCTACACAGTATCCGACATCAGAGGAATTAAGTATTGGAAAAATCAAGTTTAAGGCATTCGATTTGGGAGGGCATCAGATCGCTCGCAGAGTCTGGAAAGATTACTATGCAAAGGTATACTTGGACTTCATAAAATCAAGCCGCTTTATTGTTTTGGTTCTTCTGCAATCAGAAAGATGCTATTATAAATTTGAGGGATAACCATGTTCCATGTATAAGAGAATTTTAATCGATTTTTTTGAAAAAATACAATGTTAAATTCGGATAAATAAATTCGTAGAGAAAAGGAAAGAGGTCTTTTAATTAGTTAGGTTTTATATGTATGTGATTCAATATCCGCGTTGTTTATTAGAATATCTGGCCTGCAATACTAATAATACACAAAATAGTTATTGATGCAGTCCCATCAACCTGAGCTCTATAAATACCGGCCTCGTTTTTAAGATTTTGGGGATAAAAAAGGACTGACTTGATCGTCGATCGATCTTACCATCTGTTTTCTTGTTTAATGGTTAACCCTTGTATGAGAAAAAGTTTGTGTACAGATATTTTCAGGTCATATTCCTGAAGTATATTTTTTCATTAGTGTCTGGTTTCCGAATTACCTGGGCTTCTTAGTTTATAAATAATTCGAAACATGGTTTGCATGTGACAAATTATTTTGCTATATCCTTTCCTATACATACAATTGAGCTGTAGATTGCTTATTATCTTTTTTTTTTTTTAATTTGTTGTTGATGTTGTTGTTGTTGTGTGGCTTTTATTAAGACCCTATTACATCTGACTTAAGACCCTGGAACTGATATAAAGTTGTAGCTATTGTAAATTTGTAATTGTTTTTATTAGTGTCAACTCATGTTTTTCTTGCCTTGTTGAAATTTGAAAATAATTCATCTAAAATTCCTGCGAATGGCATAAATTTATTGCTTCTATTGACATATTGGCATTGACTGGTTGAATTTGTTATGATTCTTTCTTTCACACATTAAACGTTTTGAACCGTCTGAGATTTGTAATCTTGCTTGCTTCTTATTATTAGCTGAAAGGACTTGTCATTTCTGTGCCTGTTCTAATCATCTTTTGAGGTCAATCCTCTGGATCCGCATTTATATGTTTTAGAATTGGGATCTGTTCCTCACATAGGGTGCCTCACAACGACCTCACAGGCACATCCTACTGTGCATTGGGAACATCTCCCGTAAATAATAACACACAAGTACAGGGGATGTTCCCATTGTACGATGGGATGTGCCTGTGAGGTCGGTGTGAGGCGTCATGTGTGAGGAGCACAGATCCGGTCTCTATGTTTTATGGTTTAAGATTGTTGTGACAAATTTGTTACATATTCACATCTTTGTATGCATGATGTGTTTCGGTTTGCTTTGTATTTGAACAAGTTTTGCTTGTCAGCTGTAAATATGAAAATTGGAACTATCCATTTATATTCTGGAGTCTTAGACTCTGTTTTTAGTTGTAAATGCTGCTTGAAAGCTCTCTTTATTCTATCTTATTTTATTTGGCATTGTCACCTTGTTAAAGTACTTGGATTTCCTATATTATACTTATGTTTAATGTGCTAAGCGGTGATGGATTGGCTGGTTCTGTCATATGCTGGAATCTGTAACTCATAAAAAATCAGTCTAACTGGATGACAGGCCAGTTTAACTGGTGAACTGGCCCCGGTTTTATAAAACTCTGGGTTATATTCAAGCACTTAATTGTAGTGATGATACTTGATCAACCATGTATCATCTAACCACCTGATTATATTTCTATGAAACATATTCTAGAGGTGCATGTCATTGATATAAATTCATGGGAGTCGTTGGGCAATTTAATATTTCCTTAAATGCCATTTTGTTGTACTTTTTGGGCTGATAAGGTGTTTGTTGTATGTATTTACTAGGTTTTCCCTTCTCATGCTTACCAGTTAATAGATTCCCACCCTCACCTCCTCTCTCAAGAGTTCGATTGTGATAGGTAGCAATAGAGATTAGTCATGCGTCTTCATTTTACTTTGTCATTCCCATATGTGTCCGTATTTAATATCCTCTTAATCCTTTCGTGGATTATTACTAGTCTTTCCTTTCTCTTTCAATCTTATGTTTATTGAGGGTATAATTAGTTTGTGCAATATGCTGTAGGTTGATGCTGTGGTGTACTTGGTGGATGCCTATGACAAAGAAAGATTTGCAGAGTCAAAGAAAGAGCTAGATGCTCTCCTCTCAGATGAGGCACTGGCCAATGTTCCTTTCCTTGTACTGGGCAACAAGATTGATATACCGTATGCAGCTTCAGAGGATGAGTTGCGCTACCACCTGGGCCTGACAAACTTCACCACAGGTAAGGGCAAAGTGAACCTTGCAGATTCAAACGTGCGTCCTCTAGAGGTCTTCATGTGTAGCATTGTCCGCAAGATGGGGTATGGTGATGGATTCAAGTGGCTTTCTCAATACATTAAATAGGGAAGGAATCCAGGTAGATAATTCAAGCTCTACCCAGATGGTATTTTCGCGTCACTCTGCTACAGTTTCTTACTGGACCTAAAATTCTCATGCACGTGTTGTCCATTTGGATTGCTGTTAAAGGAGGTATTTAATCATCACTACTATGTAAAGTGAATGTGTAATAGCAAATTTTAGCTTGGTTTGGTAGCTTCTTCGTTTCTGTTATAAGACATTTTTTGCTTCCATTTTCACCGTTTTTTGTTCTTTTTGGGGGCAAGGGGTGGGGTAGAAGAAATGTGTCATTTCCTAAATTTGTTGGGAAATCAGGATTCGCAGAAATCAATAATGGGGTTAGAAGTGTAGTGACTGGTATTTACCCCAAGATATTTGACTGTCCCCCATTTTCTTTTGTGAATCTTCAATGGATTTTGCTGTGCATGTAAATGCTTCCTTGACTTGAGCTGGTTCCACACTCCACTGTTTTCAGCGTCTCTCGAGATAGATTTCTCCCTTCTCATGGTTCAGTTGTTATTGGTGTTCTCTGCGCGTGATGAGAAGTATAGTTTGGTTGGTACATTTAGCTGAAACTGAAAATAAAAGCACACCATTGGTTTGCTTGGGTGGTCCATGCTTGGTTCCACACCGCCAATGGGGTGTTGCTATAGAAATAGTAAGCACCATTAACAATTTCTGTGGGTTGCATCCTGTCTCTATGCCCCCTCCGCTCTTTACTCTCCTCTCTACTGCCTTCGTCTGCTTCTCTATTCTAGGTTTTATCAGAGATTCTGTATAAGGTTTGCTGGGATCTACCTGAAGTTTATCCGGTACGGCTTCTTTGAAAACAATAAAAACATATTGTGGGGCTTTTGACATTGTGAATTGAGCGAGGAGAAAAAATGAGTTTAAAAATGAAAAAGTTGATCAAAACGATAAAATGGTTTCAATGATCCAAAGCAAAATATAACTTATGTGATGGGTGCTCTTTTAAAGTACATACTATTGATGTCATCAAAAGATGGCTGTTTTTTTCCAAACAGCCAAAGTGATCTCGTAATAGAATGTTCGGTACATGTCTTCTTCCCGTAACCATTTTCCACCGTAATGAAATGAGACGGAGAGAGATTCAGAAGACAGTGGTATTAGGGAGGGAGAGATGGTGCAATCAGTGGGGTAGGTTTGGAGAGAGAAGCGGGATCCAGTCCACATGTTGGGAGTGGAATCTTATGAGATGAGGACATCGACATCGAAACGGACGGTAGAAAAGCAAAGGATCCAGTTCCGAGAGGGGGAGAGGCAGAGTGGTAATGATGTCAATTTGTATCCCACTAAAATCAGTATTTCTACTTGGCAATACCTGCTGTTATAGGTCGGTCAATCACAAACTCGCTGATTTTCTGCCGTTCGGTCGTCAGATGGGCAACACCTATAATCACAGCAAACATCTCTACTACGCAAGGAATCTCCATCCACGAGAAGGGTCCAGCAAATCATTTGGCAAGAAGCAGTTAGGATCCTTCACAAAAAGAAACAAGACAAGATACGTTGCTTTATTTATTCATTTATTTAGAGGGATTAAGAGGACTAGAGGAAGGGACAGACCACGGTGCACGTGAGGACTAACGGAGAGCCTGTAGATACATTCAACCAATGAGAACCACTTTTCCAATAACCTATATTTAACATAATATTTAAATTGTGTAATGATAGTATAAATTATGATTTTATGAATAATTAAATTCAATAAATAATTAATATATTAAAATTTAAATATTTTACATATTATTTAAGTATTTAAAAATTTTAAATAACAAAATATTTAACATAAGTAGATTTTAAATAGTTAAAATAAATACATTATGTAATAAATTTAAAAATTCTAAAAAGTAGAAAAATAATTATAAAATGATTTTAAAATTAATAATAATTTAATATTTTTACATAATATTGTAAATAATTAATTTCACTTATATCAAGTAATAATTTGATAAAATAAATTAAAAATAATAATTTTTATTAATAATAATTTAAAACTCTTAATCTATATTTATTATATAATTATATATACTAAAATTAATATTTATTGTCTTTTGTGATAAATGTTTTTTCAATAAGTATGTATAAATTTATTTTGTTAATTTATTTAATAGAAAACTTTCAATAATTATTGGATATTAAATTACTATTATTGAAATTTTTAAGTTTAATTTATTGTGTTTTTGTTATAAGTTATTGATTAATATTTAGTAGAGATTAAACTATTTATTGACTAAGTTAATATATTTTTAGTACTTATTATATTTTTGTAATTATTGTAGTTTTCATTATCAATATATTTTCAATAATTGTGTATTTTTGCTATAAATTTTCAATAATTATGGGAGATTAAACTATTGTTATTTATTAGAGATAAGACTATTAATTTAGCTGAAATTATGAGTGTTCATTAGTTGGTTTGGTGCGGTTGTAGGCTATTTGGCCAACCAAATTGACTTAGTCAGGTTAGAGAGTTGGTCAATTGAAACCGATTAACCTTTTGTGAAAACCGACACGCTCAAGTTGTATTGGTTTGGGTCGATTTTTTGGTTTGGTCAGTTTGTTCAAAAGATTTAAATTTAAAAATTTTAAATTTTAAAAATTATAGTGTGATTATTAAATAATAAATTTAAAAATTAGATTTATGATATAAAACATTTTAGACTAAGAAATATGGGAAAATTCCCACTTTTTTATATTAAAAATTATATTTAAAATATAAAATGTTAATATATATCCATGGTTAGGTCGTTCGATTTTGATCAATTTACAAATGGCCAAAGTGGAATTGATCCAACTTGGTTGAATTGAGAAATTTCTGAACCAAAGCCAACCTAAAATACTAGGAAACCGACCAACTCGGGTCAAGTTAATTGGGTTGGTTGGTTTCATCAGTTTGATAAATAAACCTAACTGAAATTAATTATTGTTATTTTGTATTATAAAAATTTTATTAAAAGTTGTATATAAAATATGAATAATTATTAATTATTTAAAAAGTTAAAAATATAAAACAATTGTATACTCTTATGTGTTTCTATTAAGGTCATTTGTTAATTAGAACACACTTTTAGGGATGGCAATTTTTCCCATCCCCGATGGGAACCTGACTTCCCCAACCCAATGGGGCTGGGGATGGGGATTGTTTTGGCGGAGCAGGGGCGGGGACGAGGATTAATAGGAATCACCGGTCGAGGTCAGGGTCGGGGATGGGGATTGAGGTCCCTGCCCCACCCCAGCCCCGATTATACATATGTGTGTGTGTGTGTGTGTGTGTGTGTATATATTAAATGTTATTTATATTAAATATACTATTATATTATTTATATTATATATATATATAAATAAATAAATATATATATATATATATATCAAAACATATTTAAAACATTATTTATAATTTAATTTTTTTTTATTTTAAAAAATACTATTATCTCAAAACATTTTGGGGATTCGGGTCCCCACGGGGAACCCATCCTTGTTAGGGATCAGGGATGGGGGTTAATTTCATAATCGAGGTCGGAGCCTTAGGCCCACGATTTCATTAAGGAGTGTTTGTTTTGCCCTTAGGCCCATGATTTTTTTATTCCAAAAATACCCTAACACTTTTTTTGCATAAAAAACAAAATTGAACAAATGTAGCCAATAGAGTGGTTGCCCATGTCTTATTAAGGGCAAAAATGGTATTTTTATTTTTATTTTCTTTTGATTATATTTATTTAAATGAACATTAGGGTCAACATTGTCATTTTCCACTGTCACCTAATTGATTAAATCCATTGCAAATTATAAGTGGTGTTTTAGTAAAATGCTAACTATAGGGTAGATTTTAGTAAGTCCATAAAACTATAAGGGGTATTTTAGTGTATGACCCTTTTTATTATTTAGCTTTCTCTTAATATATCCCATGCATCGCACGGGTCCCTGCTAGTACATACTAAAAGCGAATATGCTATGTCAGCACGTCTCTCCTTGCATGAAACCCCATTCTATTTTTTTGTTTCTTTTTAATTCAAGTAATTTGTAAAAGAACCAATGAAAGGTAGAGACGTTTGGACTCCCACCCTCCATCTTCCCTTTCGTATTTTACCAAGTCTCGAGAGAAAGAACCTAGAACAATAGATCTCTCTCTCCCCATGTCTCTCTCTTACTCTGGCATTCTCCTTCCTACCTCTTCCTTCCACGCTTATCTTCTTACTTCTCATGTCTTGGGAGAAATAGAGCGACAGGGGTGGGGGAGAAAGGCATAGAGAGAGATCAATTGTTTGTTCCAAGGGTAACCTTTAGAAGTTTCCTTTCCGTTGATTTGCATAGACAAAAGGTTAAAGAAGGTTAGTGGGAGGAGAGATAGCAAGTAGACAGGAGGATAAGAGGAGTACGTGATTACTTCGACTCGGCATCTCTGTATGTTTCAAGGATTCAAGGAGTCGGCCAATTGATTGAAGTTGATCAACCAGGAGATGGCCTTTCAGCTATATTCTAAACGGAAGCTATGTTCAAGAAAAGGTAATTTCTAATTGAACTCAACTTTTGAAGCCTCAATAAGGAAAAACATTCCTAAGTTCGGTGCAAAACATAAAAAGTTTGACCTATTCAAGGATTAAAGTTTTGGTATCGAGTATTGTATCGAACCACTTGGAATAGATATAGTTATGAATACGCTTTGAAAATGCATGGATATGGATGAAAAATATGGATATGCCAAAAAATGCATATAAATTTCATAAATATATTAATAACATTATATTTAAGATTAAAATAGCCATAATTAATGTATAAATACATAGAAAATGTATGTTCTAAAGGTATATTTGAATTTTAGCTTACAAATTTTGTGGATTGATCAAAATTTCTAGACTATAGGGACCATACATGTTAATCTTACAATCAATTACTATTATTAGGTAAATTTCTCTTTCTTTTTCCTTTTTTTTATCCTTTCTTTTAGACTTGAGTTAGTGGTACCAAGGTTTTAAACATCGATACGCCCGATACGTTGGTAGGGGCGTATCGGGCAATATCGATAGTGTTTATTTATTTATTTTTTATTTTTTTCAAAATCATTTCAGGGGGGCCATTTTAAGGCTCCTCCACCCCTTGAACCGGTCAGAACCCCGATACACCCTTTGTAGGGGCGTATCGGGGAGCTCTCGAAACGATACATATCGGCAGATACGGGTCGATACATGTCGATACTTTGAACCTTGACTGGTACCTCTATAAGTAGATTTTATATTTGAGAAAATTCATAACCACCATGATTTTGTAGTGAAAACAACAGACTTGAAGCCTTTCATCATAACCACCGGGTCTCTCTCTCTCTCTCTCTCTCTCATTCGCTTAGTTGGGTTATTGATACTTTCTCATTCACTTCATTGCATTATATATACTATCATTATTGATACAAATAAGGGTGTGAATGAACCG